AAAATATCGAACACACATCAAGTTCACATGATTACTTGCAACATGACTTCTCCCGTGGCCTCAAGAACAAAAGTAACTACTCACAAATGATAAGCATGCTCAAGATCATAGGGGTATTAAATAGCATAATGGATCTGAACATATAATCTTCCACCAAATAAACCATATAGTAATCAACTACAAGATGTAATCAACACTAGTAGTCACCCACAGGTAACAATCTGAGGTTCCGGTACAAAGATTGAACACAAGAGATAAACTAGGGTTTGAGAGGAGATGGTGTTGTTGAATATGTTGATGAAGATTGCCCTCCCAAAGATGAGAGGGTTGTTGGTGATGACGATGGCTTTTGATTTCCCCCTCTGGGAGGGAAGCTCCCCCGGCGGAATCGTTCCGCTGGAGGGCAAAAGTGCTCCTGTCCAAGTTCCGCCTCGAGATGGCGGCGCTCCATCCCAAAAGTCCTCTCATTTTTTTCTTTCTAGGTAAAAATGACCTATATACCAGAAGATGGGCACCGGAGGTGGGCAGGGTTGAGCACAACCCACTAGGGCGCGCCTGGGGGGCCTGGCGCGCCTTGGTGTCTTGTGCTCACCAGGTGGCCCCCCTCCGGTAGTTATTTGCTCCATTATTTTTCTTATATTCCAAAATAATTTTCCTTAAATTTTCAGATCATTTGGAGATGTGCAGAATAGGTGCCCTGACATAGCTTTTTCAGGCCCAAAATTCCAGCTGTCGGTATTCTCCCTCTTTGTGTGAACCTTGCATATTATGAGAGAAAATACATTAGAATTACTCCATGAAGCATTATTATGCATCAAAACATTATAAATAACAGTAGAAAAACATGATGCAAAATGGACGTATCATTCATTGGAAAGTTTGACAGGGGACTAGATAGCTCGAGAGTGGAATTTGTTCCTCCGACAATGGAGAGATAGTCTTAGGGGCTAGGGCACTCTCGGTGTGATGGCATCCAACATTGTCTGCCCAAACATAGGTGACTACGTCACGGGGATGCCAGAACACAATAATGAGAAAGAAGAACATAACCGGTAATGAGGATTTTGGTATAGTGAGCAAGGTGATGACTCAGGAGGATACTGATGCATCCCGGGTTTGTGAAGTATCCCGAAACAAAGGGAACATCACATGATAACCATAGGTTCACTCGGATATCATTCTCGTTCTCATAAGGATCAATATGGGCGTCCACGGTCCCACTGACAGTCACTGAACAAATGGTTTCGTTCATGTCTATGAATTACTGAACCTACGGGGTCACAAGTTTAAGGAAATCATGATCTACTGAGTATTAGTAGGATGGGTGTCATGAGAATATATTTGTTGAATTTTTTCATGAATATTCAGAATAGTTTCGAGGGGATCTGGAAGCGTTTGAGGGTCACCAGAAGGGTTTCGATGAATATCGGGCTGTAGGATCGAGAAGAGGGGTCTAGAGGGGGGGTGATTAGACCCTTAATAAGTAAAAGTAGTAGTTTTTAAGATTCTTCAAGTTAAGGTTGAGTTTAGCACATGTTAAAGGGCACGCAATATATTTTACACAAGCATAGCAAGAGTATCAGCGGAAAGGGTAAAGCATGCAAGTGCAAGATGTAAAAGAGAAGGGAATTGGAATGAGCAAACGCAATGGAGACACAGAGATTTTTGGCGTGGTACTATCATACGTCCACGCTTATGGATACTTCAACCCACGGAGGGTAACGGCTACGCGAGTCCATGGAGGGCTCCACCCAAGAAGGGTCCATGAAGAAGCAACCTTGTCTATTCCACCATGGCTTACGTCCACGAAGGACTAGCCTCACTCGGGTAGATCTTCATGAAGTAGGCGATCTCCTTGCCCTTACAAACTCATTGGTTCAACTCCACATGATCTTGGAGGCTCCCAAGTGACACCTGACCAATCTAGGAGACACCACTCTCCAAAAGGTAATAGATGTTGTGTTGGTGATGAACTCCTTTATCTTGTGCTTCAAATGATAGTCTCCTCAACACTCAATCTCTCTCTCACGGATTTGGCTTGGGGTAGGAGAAGGATTGGAGTGGAAAGAAACTTGAAGAGGCTAGAAATCAAGGTTCAAATGGTAGGAATGGAATCTCTTGATCTCAACACATGAGTAGGTGGTTCTCTCTCAAAAAGTGAATGGTGGAGGTTGTGGTTCGTTCTAATGACTCTCTTTCTGAGTAAGAGGGGGTGGATGGGGTATAAATAGCCTCCACATGAAATCCAACCATTACACACTTTTGACCAAACTCGGTGGCACCGACTAAAATTCTCAGTGAGACCGACCCGTGCAAAAGATATGAAGGTTGGGGGTCTCGATGGGACCGACTAGATCATCTCAGTGAGACCGAAGTGCACTGGCAAAGGCTGAACCGCGTTTCGGTAATTCCGATCAGTTTCACTCGGTGAATCCGAGAGGAAGTGATTTCATCACAAAAACTTGGTCAGGCCATCTGGTGGGACCAAGAGCCATTTCGGTCAGACCAAAAAGCTAGGGTTTTGGCTGTGGTAGTAGTAGGATCATCTCGGTGGGTCCGGAATGGAATATATCGGTGGGGCCGAAATGATGAATTAGGGTTTTGGATAGATGTGGTTTGGGAAAGTGATTGAGGGTTTTTTTAGCAATATCACCGAGTACTTGAGCAACAACCTCATCACCAATACCTCATACCCTTTTAATAGTATTGGCTTTTCCAAGGGACTCAATGTGATCTTGGATCACTAAACCAAAAATATAGAGTCTTGGGGTAGCCAAAAAAAATCTTCACATTTTGAGTGGGTTCCAAATCCTATTGTCCTTGCCATGCCACCATTGGACTTATTTGAAATATTCTAGGCAGAACTGTTAGTCCAATAATATGTATGTTGACATTGATTGCCAAAACACCCAAGGGAGCAAATGTGCCTTATAGGGGGGCGAATTGTACTTGGGGAGGAGTCTTACTCCTCCCCAATGGCCGGCACCCCAAGGAGGGTCTTTCCCTCCTTGGTGGCTGCCCCCTCCTCCTCCTCCATTCTATATATACTAGGGTTTTTTGCTCTATTGTATATACAAGTTTTGGAGCCTCCTCTAGTTCTTCTAGTTCTAGTTGGTCCTAATTGACTAATTAGAGCTAGGCTAATCCTCTTGTCCACATAATTAGAATCCCCGTATGGTTCTAGTCTTCTCCCTCTAATTCTCCAGCGATGATTAGCTTTGGACGGCGAAGCGCTGCCGGATCGTGAAGGTTGCATACTTGCAACCAAGTAGAGAGGCCGTGTTTTGGGTCTTCTGTTCGAGGGACTGTTCATGGGTGGTACAAGGGATCGTTCATCAACGGATCGAGGGACTCCAAGTACGTTCTACACTGACAAGTCCTTCTTCTGCTGCAACTCGGTGTCTGTAATGATCGTGATCCCAACCTGTTATGCATCTTCATATTGATCTTGGGTGATCATAGGCGTGATCCCAACCTGTCATGTTTCCCAATAGCCACTACTCCCCCCCCCCCAAGCTTCACTTTTCGTTGCGCACAGACGGCTGGTGAGCTTTCTTGGACATGGGGGAGACATGTCATGGGGAACGGGTACCCCCATGGCCGGCGATCATTTATACTAGGTTAACTAAAAAAGCCTAGTCCAGTATTGTTTAGTTAAAATATGTTTAAAATGTAATGAATTTGGTATCAGGTTTGCATGAAATTCATCTATTTAATTCAATTTAGCTTTGAAATGTATGTGGGCTTGGTTGGATGGCCGGCTCTATCACGCTTCACGGACGTGTCTGCGGACGGATACCGTGTCCATTTTAGGGGTCCGTGATGCTCTTAGCATGAAAATGAGGTGTGTGCTTACGCGGATGGGGAAGAGATATCCCAAATATTTAAAGGCACTCGTGTTCTCCATGGGATGGGAGTGTTTCGGGTGTTGCTAATTGAATCTCTTTACTTGGATGTAATATTTTTGGACAGTGTTCAAACTGTCAAGTTTTCTCCCCCATCACGGACACCCAAATCGGGCCATCAAAATGAGTTTTGCGATAATAGGTCAATCTAAATTTCTTGTTTCCTTTTGCTTGTGAGCTGCCTTTTCATTATAGAAGAAAGCAATGAAAGATGCGAAACTTTCTTTTAGCAAACGAAGAAAGGGTACAAATGTATCATGGTTTGATAAAATATAGAGCTTCGGAGTTTATAGATTTCAACCATTTTAATAAAACACGAGGGGAGAAACTTACTAGGCCGCCTATTTTGTACTCCCTTCGTTTCTAGATAAAAGTTTTTTAAAATATTTTAATATGAACTACATACGGATGTATATAGACGTATTTTAGTATGTAGATTTACTCATTTTGCTTCATATGTTGTTTATATTGAATCTCTAAAAAGACTTGTATTTAGAAACGGAGGTAGTAGTACTAATCTATCCATGCAACTGCGCCACCTCAGCAAAGCATGCATATAGGTCATAAGTTAAGCTGACTTGTCGTCTTTGTTACTTATTATATAGATTAGGCTAAGCTTGAAAATCTCTGAAGATGTATTTTTACTTAACTGCAGAAAAATGACAGAGTAGAAATACTTCTGCACAACTGTTATTTCATCAAACAACATGCTAGAACAATTGTACACGTGTGATATAAGCTTTTCCTACTGCTAGCATGACTTGAAAGCAGGTGTTGATTAGTCTCTCTGTCTAATCTGAATGAGGTAACCATCAGGAAATTCCAGCCCTGGACACCGGACTATCTTGCCTCCACCTAGTTGTATCCACCTGAAATACGTTGGAGCAAATGATGACAAAGAAATGGAGGATATGAACAATTACAAAATTTTGGGCTCCAAGTGGATTCATTAGAAAACAATGGAGGCACCTATATTTGGTGACAAGAAAGTGAAGGAAAATGGCCATTTGTAGCTTGCTGAAGTCTGCTCCAACACAGGACCGGAGACCTCCTCCGAAAGCCATGAAGTGTCTTGACCCACGGTTTGCCTCTAGTTTATCCTGTGTGCATGTGGCGCCCTAGTTAAGTAAATTACCACAGTTGTCCTAGATAAAGTGTACTATGTGCATACATAGGGTTGAGCTGTTTGATCTTGCATGAGTTGGGCATTGAGGTCCAGTACAAACCTTAAACCTTGAAGGATTGAAGGTGAGGGGGTCAGGGTAAATATCTGGATTCAGGTGCACCGCGAGAGGGCAGACCATCACTCCCCATCCAGCTGGAATTGTGTAGCCTGTCGCCAATAATTGTCATTTGAGAGATACTACTAGCTACTGTCTCTTCTGTTTTCGCAGGATGCATGATTTAGATCGTAACATCGGGACACAATGTTTTGTTTTTTTGTATGCATGATTACCTCTGAACTGTACATCTTTCAGTGTCTTTCTGAAGATGCCAGGCGCAATGTTGGCCAGTCGGACCGTCTCGTTTATCACCTGTAGAAGATGATGCATGTGCGTCTGATTATGACAGCATAAACGTACTATTATTAGTACGGCTAAAGGTATGCGTGTCATGGATTATGACCTGGGATGTGAATGTCATGGATTTGTACTCTTTCCATGTAAGTCTGTCGCCATCAGTCTCACCGCCTGCCTCACGCTCGTTCAGAATCGTTTCATGCTCCACCTATACACCCAAGCCAAATCACAAAGATTTAGAAGTTGCTCAGCTCAGCATGCACGTAAAGATCATACAGGACTCACCGTGAGTTCCTCCAGGACGCGAGGGTTGTCGGTGAGGAGCTTGACGGCCAGGGTGATGGCCAGCGACGTGGTGTGGAAGCTGGCGAAGAGGAGCACAAACAGGAGGTCCAGCGCCATTCCCTCCGTCAGGACCGGCTTCTCCTTGGTGATCTCCTGGACGACGTAGTCCAGGAAGTCGCCGTGGCACCGTGCTTCCCCTCCTCCGGCCGCCTCAGCTGATCTCGTCCTCTCCTCCAACACCTGCTGCAGCACCTCCATTACACTCATCCGTCCCTGAAAGTTACTCATAGTCAGTTAAGGGCATATACAATGGTTGATAAGACAGTCTTATCTTAAGTCTTGCATGCAATTTAGAGATGACAAAAAAGTATGTTTACAATGGGTTATATCTTAGCCTTATCTTTAATAACTAGTAATTCCTTAAAACATGGTGAGAATTGTGCTAAGAGATCCTCTCTTGTCTTATCTTAAATAAGAGAAGACAAATCTTTTCTTATGAGTTCTCTCTCCTCCATCTCATCATTTATCTTACGTGGCACTTCTAAGATAGCACCATTGTACATGCCCTGATGACCCTAGTGCATGCATGGCTGAACAGCCTTCACTACTGACCGACTTAGCGTTCGCGTTGATCACCTGCATGCATGCGTAGTAGGCTGTTCCTGGCAGGTAGAGCGGGAAGGAGATGAGCCCTCGAACGAAGTCGAAGAAGCTCTTCCGTAGAACCTTGGACCTCGACGGCTCCAGGCCGAGCAGCTTGCTCGCCGAAAGTTCAAACACCATCTGCAATCAAACACCGTACGCGAGGTAGCAACATAACCTGAACAGTGAATACCACGTGTAATAATCCAGAGCGTCACAAGACTAGGCTTACGGTGGAGACGGCTTCTTTGAGGTCGACGGCCGGCAGGGTGGACCAGGTGCAGAGCGAGCTGCAGACGGCGCGCTGGACGTCGCGGAGGATGGACTCCTTGAGGCTCTCCGGGCCGAAGAACCTGAGCACCATGTTCTTGAGGTACTTGAACATGGTGCCCTTCTGCTCCCCGACGTTGTCGCGGCCGAGGATCTCCACGAACGAGTCCGGGTACCAGCTCTGGAACAGCTCCCCCTCCTGCTGGAACACCATGTGGTTCAGCTCCTCGTCCGCCGACACCACCACCGGGTGCCCCACCACGCTCGTCTTGAAGATCGGGCCGTACCTATACAAAATCTCGCACCAAAGCCTCTATGAGAAACTGGCCCATGTAATTCGCTTGGGCCTCGCCACTCGTCAGGGATGAAAAAAGTATGCGTACCTCGTGAGCCTGTCTCGGATGAAGCGAGGGACGTCCAAGGAGGCGTCCGGGGAGAAGAACTGGAACGTCTCGCCGACGAGCGGGAGGCCCATGGACCCCGGCGGGAGCCGGCCGTTGCACCGAGGGTTCCTCCACCGGTGCACGCTGTACAGCAGGAGGAGCGGCAGCGCCACCGCGGCAAAGGCCGAGAGCCCCGCCAAGGCGTCCATCCTTCTATCTAACTAGGTTGGAAACGCATGTGGTTTCTACATGTCTCGTGTGATCAATCGAAAGCCAGCCAGGCGCATCGGGTAACGGGTAGAAACGGTCAATCTGTATGTAAAGAGCAGCGGGCGCGATTCTGGGCGTGCTTTGGGTGAGCCATCGTCAAACGTAAAGGTTGTGAGGAGAACAGTGGTTGCCTGACTCGTTGGGGTTGGTGTGGCAATGCTGTGGTCTCTCTGAATTACACTACTACTGTACTCTTTCTTATTGGGCCGTTCATTCATGCGTCGCTCTCTTTGGGCTGCCATGGGCTGGCAAATATTGCACTTATTGTTTTTTAGGGAATAATATTGCAGTTACTGTAAGTCTACATTTTCCTTTTCAGTATAAATATTAAAAGAAAAAATAGAAGTTTTATAAAATCATTTTAATGGTAAGAAAAATTCCCATAAGCTGCAAAAATAATGTTTCACCTATTTTGCACACATTTCAAGAAAAAGGTTTATGTATACTTAAAAAATGTTTTACGAAAGATATAAATTAGTTTGATGATAAGAAAAAAAACCTTCAAGTGCTGCAAAATAATATTCACATGTATGAAAATAAATGTTCATGTATATTGTAAACAATGGTCTTGTATGTGAGATGAAATGTCCATATATCTTAAAGAGAAGTTCATGTTTAAAAAATAGTCCACATGTTATAAAAGAAGTGTTCGACCTAAAAAAAGAGTATCCCACAAAAATTATTCATGTGCTTACCTAAAAAGGTAAAAATGATTGGACATTGACAAAAACAAACACAAATAAGGTGAAATAATATAATTTTATTTAGAATAGAAAAAATAATGATTTAAAATTAACAAAATAAACACAACAAATGTAAAACAGAAAAGTGAAAGAGAAAGAAGAAAAGGAAAGGAAAGAAATTAGAAATAAAAATGGAAGACAAGATACTCTCTACTACTAAAGGGGGTGGCAGGTTTGTCTCACCTCCGCCCCCAGTTTTTTTCTCCCCACCCCCCTCCCTATTTGGTTTTCCGCTGATTTTTCTTTTTGGTAGTCTTAACCGATGCCACACAAAACAAAATATAAACCTACATAAATGAAGTAAATAGAAATAATCTAAAGTAAATCAATAATTTCCCAAAACCATGTCCTGCAATAATTAAATAGCTTAAAACAAATTTTGCCAAAATCAAAACGTGCCTTGCCTTCCTTTGCCCATGCCCAAATCAAATCAAATCTTACCAAAACCTCAACTAAATCAAAACTTTATTTGCCTTGCCATACTCATACTCAAATAAAATTTAATCTATAATATAGTGGGTCTAAGGAATATGTCGGATAAGATTGACGTTAAACCATTAGAATAGCCGAATTTGCATGCCCATTCAATGCACGGATAATTAGCTAGTCTCTACTATTAAATGAGAGTAAGTAGGTTCGCCTCACCTCCCACCATTCCTTTATGGCTGATTTTTCTCCCTTCCACTAAAGACCAAACCGATTTGCTCAACCCTTCCCGTTGGTTTTTGTCTGTCAACTACCTTGGTTCATCCCCTCCACGCCTTCTAGTTTGGAATAATCTAAATCAAATCGGGCTTTCCTTTCCTTCTCCTACTGAAAATCATGTTCTACATTAACTCAATCAGATCTTGCTAAAAAATCATATCTTGACTAAATCAAATCTTAATAATTAATCAAAAATAGTGTTGCCTTCCCCTACCCCTACCCAAATCATATCGAATCTTATCATAAATTCAACTATATCTAAACTTTTATTGAATTCCCCTACCCCTAGTCTTACCAATAGCTGGAATATGGCGTGCATGAGCCATAGAGTATAAGACACAATTGTTGTTGAACAAATAGAATACGCATGCCTCTGTTGCAATGCATGGGCAATTAACTAGTAATGAATAATAGGGAAGGCCCATGTGAATGGTTATCGTGAGCGACGTCCCTTTAAGTGGTACGTACCATGTGTTGCGATGGCAAATCCTATTGTATGCCATGAGCGAAGAATATGAGCCATTTTCGGATGAAGCGTGTGTATGGACCTCATCTTCTAGATTTCAAGTTTTTTTTCTTTCTTATTACGCTTTCCTTTGATCTTTCACTTTTTCTAGTTTCCTTTTCCTTTTCCACTTTCTAACTTTATTATTATTTTTTATTTCATGTTGTGTTTTCTTATATTTTCGTTCTTTTGGGGGGCAAATATATGAATTGTTCTCAAATATGTGATATTTTTATTTAATATATACATTTTTAAAATACGGGCATTTTTATAGCTTTTCCCAATGTGATGTCAAACCCGAAAAGTTCCTATTTATTACTACATTTCAAATGTATGGATATTTATATCCCGAGTACATGAATATTTTCCGTTTTTTGCAATATACATTTTCCTTCTTCAAACTAATTTAAGCAATGTTTCCATAACCTATTAATTAAAAAAAATTCTTAGTTATTTAGAATGTACTTTACGAGATAAAAATGTATTATGAAGTAATGGGTTCTGGCACTGGTAGTGGTAGGCCCACGCAGCAATGCCTGTCTTGATGTGGTTGGGGGCGATGATCACCTGAGGCCTAGAGTTGGACTATTTGCATGTATGTTCGTTAGTTATTACAGTATCGAGCAATGTCACTCACCGCGTTTTAGGTATGTTGATTTGAAACCTTGAGGATACCCTCCGACCCTTCTTAGTTCAACAAAATAAACTATCCTATAGGTTCCCAGTTTGCATCCCTGCCGCATTTCCTAGTTTTGTGTATGTTTTGTTGTACTCTGCTCAACACAACGCACAACGAGAAAACCTCGCACGGCTGGCGACAAATCAACGCATCGTCTGACTCCCTTGATGTCGCGGCTACCATGGCTGGTAATTCCTACCAGTGGTGTTGACTCGACTCTTGCTTGTCCGTGCAGGTGCGGCTCATTCATCCCACCATTTCCCCGAGAGAGGCGTTACAAAAAGCATCGAGTCTGTGTTTCAACATTAATTAATTAAAAGTTTTCAAAATAAATAAATTAAAAATGTCAAAAAAAAAACTTGTTATTCAAGTGTGTATAAAGTTTCATCAACTAATTTGATTATTTACATGATACACAAAATAAAAAGACAAATATCTGGCCCAAAGACAATAATGCAAAAGCCCATTTTAATCTATGTATTTTGTCTTTTTTGTGTACATCACATATGAACATATGCTGTGCTAAAAAAACATATGAACATATGTGTCCATGAAAATTTGTACGTGTATATATATGTTTGTGTATATTTTTTCAGATTTTCTTGAGGTGCAGAAATAGCATGTTGGCTGGGGAAAAAAAGAGAGCTCCATTGAGCTCGGCCGCTGCACGCTCTTTTGGCCATTTCCCCCCGTTGCTAGTAGCATCGACAGGACAGACCACCGTGAAAGTGCTTTGCTCCTCCTACTCCCACCCGAGCTTCCTTTTGGCGCCAGACAGTGGGCACCAGCCGGAGCAGAGAATTTTCCTCTTCCATGCCGCAGCACGTGAATTCCGGAGCGGCCTGATCCAAATCGCCCCGGGCTTCAGTCTCGGATCAGACCAAAGCACGGAATCTCCCGCCTCCTCCAACCAGCCGGGGACGTCCCTGCAGGCACGCTTTCCGGCTGTCCTAGCAGCCTCTGTCCGGTCAGATCACACCGTATAGCTGGGAGCAGTACCAAGGTTGCTGCATGCAAAGCTCAATTCCTTCTCGTTGCGTTTCGTACGACTGTTTGGACAGCCGGGTGAACGAGCTCTATAATGCAGTACTCCACTACCATCAGTGTACGTCGCGGTCTGGCAGGAGAGGACCAATGATTGTGCACCCATTGTTATTTTTCTCATCATCTCATGTCAAGTCAGTGACAGAGATTCTTAACTACTCCACCGGTGGCATCCTATGTGGATCCTAGAGTGCCATTGGCTGATTGGCTCCTGCCCCATTGCTCAACCACTGACCAGCCGACTATCTGCATGCAGATCTCGGAGAGGCGCAGGCTCTATAGTATTAGTACTCTCTCCATTTTACAATGTAGTGTTTTCTCTATCTCGGTGCTTCAACTTTGACCCTAAATTTAACTATCAAGACCGATTCCAAAATAACAATGGCTCTGGCCATAGTGTACTACGCAGTGTTAGGTGAGCTTGACTCTGGCCATAGTAGGAGTAGCTTGTAAGCTGAGAATCTGCGGATGAGGGGCCTCCGGTTGTGTCCAAAAGTCTCTATATCAATTCAATTCAATGCATGCCGCCCGAGAATTCGCCACCCGATCAGTGTTTGTTCGTTTGCTCCTGCTGTTAGGGACCAGCCCCTCTTTCTGTTTCAAATTACTTGTCGCAGAAATGGATTTATCTAGAACTAAAATACATTTAGATACATCCATATCTACGACAAGTAACTCGAAATGGAGGGAGTAGTTACTAGTGGAGGTGGACTCGTCAATTCGTCATTATTTTTTGCGAGATCCACCTTTTTCCAGTGTCCTAAAGTTTAGTGCTAGTAATATTTTTTGGAGTGGTCACATAAATATTTAAGTTTCGCTTTTCTTTTTCACCGCTGAGTAGCATGTACGTACTATGCGATTTTTTTACTGTACTATGTTCCCTTTTTCAAGAAGAAAAAAGGTGCCACTAATTAAGTTCTTATATTTTGCAGCAAAACAAAACGTGTCTCTGTGGAGGACAGAACAGTATGGCATGACATGGACAGATTTGTGTTATATATCTGCCACGAAATCCGCTCACTTGGCTGACAGTTTTCTGGCAGATTTTGGGCAAATTTTGCCTTGTCTGTCTTCAGCACCGACCCTGACGTGTGCACAAAAAATCGGGGAGACGCTGACCCAGAAAATGATATATAACCTCCTTATTTCACTTAAAAGTATCGGTAATTGTTAGCTCGTCCTTTTTCCTCTGAAAAACAGGCTTATGCTGTAAAGAAAGAAAGAAGCTGAAAGCTGAAGCTTGAGCTACGGTTGCATTCGGTA